ATCTCTCTGTGTTCCGAGTGGAGCATAGGGCTTCCAACTTCCTCTTTGAAGTTGCACTATCAGTGGTGTTTTTTTTTTGGAGGGGGGGGGGGGTTGCTAGCCTCACACGCACAGCCTCTCCTCCTTGTCAGGCTTACTACCGGGGATAAGCGCGAAGTTTAGAATCACGCATGTCAAGAGCCGAAGCATGAGAGAGGCGAGTATTTGAAGAGTATTCCTATCTCTAAGCTACCAACCCACACACAGCAGCAGCAGCAGAGAGAGGTTACAATCCACACGGGGTCTCTGGGTTATATACGCCCAGAAAACTTCTACCATGCAACTCCATCTGCTTAAAGCCTTCACAGACACACACACACACACACACAATAATTGAAGGTCATAGTCTGAAACTTAAAAGCTGTTGATAAAACTCTGCTGTAGCCTGTTGGGAATGCTTTTCGTAACGCATGAATTCTTTCAACCATATAGAAGAAGTAGTGACTTGGCACAAATTTCTAGGCTGATTTCACAGTAATGTAGGTCTGTTTTGCGATTCCGATCCTAGCTGACTCTGACATCTTCATTCGTGCGTGCCTCACGCTTGTAGTTGAAACTGTTACTGCCTAGAGATAAAGTGAACTTTTATCCTATCGAACTTTTCATGAATAATAATATTCAGTTGTGATCTCTAATCTTCAATGCTACAACATTTTCTCTCTCTGTGTCTTTCTTGCCCCCTTTTTTTTAAAACATTATGTGACATTTTAATCGGTATTTCATTCTCTTTGTCTCTTATTTATAATTAGAATTTATGTTTTGTTTCGTTTTGTTTTCATCTCTCCCCTGAACTTCTTCTTTGTCTCAGAAATAATACATCCAAAAAAGAAACTAGTTGTCTTTCAAATTCCACTCCTCACCCACCCCATCCACCCCCTTGCTTGCTGGCTGGCTGGCTTTGTTTATATCATGAATTTTAATCTATAATAAATAGGGTTAATGGGATAAAAAGTGTGTACCCTCCTAAATAAATAAAATATGTGCTTATGAGTATTATTATGATTATTCTAGTTTCAAAAATGTCAATTACACTTTGTGTGAATACAGCAGTCAGTATTAGTATTAGTAGTAGTAGTACTAGTTGTTGTTGTTGTGGTCCGTTGTTTCATCTTTCACATATTATAATACGATTGGTATTATTACTATTATTATTATTAACTGACTGCTTTTCTATTTCCCCTCCCCCCTTCTGTCTCTCTTCTTCTCCTCCACCCCCTGCTCCCCTCCTTATGTCAATTGTTGTTCCCAGTAGTTGTTGTGCTGATATACTCGTGTGGTTTGTTGCTCTGTCTATGCGTGTGTGTGTTGTGTGCGTGCGTGCGTGCGTGCCTGTGTATGAAACAAATCGTATTGTCATTGTGTGATGGCCATTATTCACATTATAACTGGACTGTAGTAGTAATAATAACCAGGACATAGGAGAGGACATATAGATATTATGTAGATATAATTAGCTTACACTATCTGATGTTATATGTATGTAAATGTGTCTACACACACATGAATGAATCATCCCACTTACATTAATATAAAATAATAAGGTGAAAGGGAAAAACTAATTAGTAGAAAAATAATAAAAATGGCATTTTTAATAGTAATAATCACAAACATTTTATAAAAAAATTCCCCTAGAAATATTTGGTCAATATTTTTGAAAAAAAAGGGAGAATATTTTCATCCGTATAGGTGTGGATGGAGGATGGTGATGGTGACTAACAGTGGAATCTACTAGATGGATGCGTCCTATTTCGTCCTATTTGGGACTCGTCAACTGGATGTACCTGAATTCTCCAGTAGTGAGTGAGTAGTGCTGTTCCCACTGAGGCTCTAAACCAGTGCCCATCGTTTCAAACGCCACAGAGCGCGTTATCCACTAGACCACTTGGGTTGGGCGCCACGAGAGCTACCATACCACCTGTGCAAGTGCTCGTGAATTGAGCTGAAGAAAATCTTCTTTATCGAGAAATCTTTTACAGCAGCGGTGCAGTTGTATTGAACATTTACCAAAAATGTGTAGTAGTCTGTTATTGATTAATAGGGAGTGACATAATTTGATATAATTACTCAGAAGTGGTTTTAAAAGTAAAAATTGAGGTTGTGTTTTACGTAGTTCTGAACTGCAGAAAAGAAGAAAGGGTTAGAAGTTTGATAAGGTTAAAAAATTGTTATTGAGTGAGAAGAAAGGGCAGTTGAGTGTCAATTTAACAAGTGTGATGAGGGTGAGAAAATGTACAAAAGGAACATATGAGAGTGATAATGGTGAATCAATTAATAAGGTAAAAGGAAGCTAAAAGTAAAATTTAAAAATTAAAAATTTACAGGAAACGACTAATGAAGAGGTGGAATAAGAGACTGAACATACTTCCTCCGTATACAGAGAATTGCCAACGCCTCCTCCATACACAAATGCCGAAAGAAGCCTAACGCCCTTTGTACCATTTGGCCTCGCCTTGTTGATAATCTTGAAAGACGGCTGTACAGTCGTATTTATATTTACCGAAAATATATAAGTAGTCTATTATTGAGTAATAGGAGGGGTGTGACAGTATTGATATAATTACCCAGAAGATGATTTCGTCGATAAAGAAAATTTTCTTCAGCTCAGTTCTTGAGCACTTGGTGAACTGAAGCCACGTAGCTCCACCAGAGTCGTCTTTCAAGGTATTAGTTATTATTTAATTCAATTTGGACTTTCCCTTTGGTTGATTGGACTAAAGTGCTCGGTCTCTGATGGCTCCTTGGAGGGTGGGGGTAATGTGGGTGCACGCAGTTGACGAGTCCCGTATAGGACGAAATACGCATCTTGGATTCCACTACTGTAGTCACCATCCACCAAAGTTGAATCCTCAGACATCGTCGAAGTGTCCGCACAAGGAGCCAACATGTCAAGCGGGGTCGAACACTTCGGTCCAGTCACTCAACGGGGAAGTCCAAATTGAAATTAATAAGAAATGTAAGATGGTTGGTTGGTTAGTTCTGTTAACAGAAAAAAGGAAATCGGTGGTTGACCAGCTGACTGACTAACAGACTCTATTATGTAAAGTATCAAGTTAAAGTTCTCGCATAGTATTGTCACTCTTTATTATAAAACGCATAAAGGTAAGGGTAAAAGTGAAAATGCATAGCAGCAACTGTGATAAACTGAAATATTCGGTCGGTCGGTTTCCGACATAGAACTTTGCACATATGTGTTCAGTTCAAGTCGCCACACTTCACTCAGCACACAAAGGAAGAGAAGAAAGTAGGAGAAATGTATAATATAGACAGAAAGTTGAGGTGTGAGACAAAGGAATAGTAATAACGGAGAACGAAACAGTTTCATTGGAAATCATAAGTCTCAAGGAGTGGATGCATCTGCGCTAGCCACTGAGAACGATTTTGAGCCATGTCACCAATTGTTTCCAACCATTGGTTTTTACCGTTCCGAGGACCCCAGTCAGCCACGAAGTCTACATCTTCCTACGTGACTACCTTAAAATAACTGTTGTAGATTTCATTGACTGGTGCCATGTTTTCGTTTGACCGCCACTAGCTCTTTTGCAGCCTGGCCCTATATCAGCTAACATTGCCCATTGTCGAGGAAGGCGATGACTAGGCATGCATACGTAACACATGTCCTAACCATTTCAGTCGATGTAATTTCACAGTCTCGTCGGCTGATTTCCCTTCCTTACCTAGCACTCGACGCCTAACCTCAATATTGCTCACCTTGTTATGCCACTTCACGCGAGAGATAGAACGCAGGTACCTATGATCAAAGACAGCTAGCCAGCATTTTCATGTCTTCCGCTCTCAATGGCCAGGTAGGTCTCACAGCCATAAAGGAGGACGGAGCGGACTGTTGAGCGGTACGTGGCTGAAACCAGTGATGGGAGATTTCATGGATTGATTCCAGTTTTTGGTTTGATGACCACCACTAACTTACCTAATTTTTTTTTCTACAGCCTAATTCTATGTCCGCTAACTTTGCTCATCGAGGACAGTGGACTTAGGCTTGACATGCGTAATACATGTTTCAGTTATCTGAATCGATACAGCTTCACAACGCTATCGATAGACTTGCTCACCTTACTTAACACTGGAAAGGCGTTTCGTTTTAGCCTGAAACTCTTCATCAGTGCATACCCATAACACCTCATAAAGAATTCAAGCTTGACGGGAAGGTCACTAGATGAAGCTTATTGAACATTCAATCACTTCGACTGGAATTCAATGACCCATGATATAGCACTACCGTCATTGAGTCGTAGCATTGGGTTGGGTAACTGCTTTTTGTCTAACCGCTATCCAAACAACCTTTCTGGCATGGTAGGACCTCAAGCGACATAAATCTCAGCCAGTATAGCTTGTTGGAAAAATCAATCGAAGAGGCTATAAAAAAGTTACATAGATTGAGATGGCTAGGTCACGTGCTGCGCATGCCTAGCCATCGCCTCCCACGACGGGCATTACTAGCTGATATAGGTGCAGGTTGGAAAAGAGTAATTGGTGGCCAAACAAAAACATGACATCAATCCATGAAATGCCTGACAGTTAAACTGAGTCCGGGTTGGGGCCCGCCCTGGGGACTCTAAGAATCAATGGCTGAAGACAATGGGTGACATGGCTCAAAATCGTTGTCAATGGCTTACTCAGATGTATTCAGTCTCTTGTGTAATCTTTCATATTCCTTTCTACCATTATTCATTCTGTTTCACTCTTATACATGTCAAAACTCTATTGATTCTCTTCACTCATCTTCTTGTCTACCTTTGTGTACTACTTGGAACGTGGCAACTCGAACTGGTGCACTTCGGTGCCAAGTTCTATGTTGAGTCCAGACAGAGACAGAGACTACCGTCATTAATAGTACACATTTCTTTAAAGCCTCTCCCTATTTGACATATGTAGAGTTCTAAATCATCAGTTTTTTTCCTAGTTATAATTAATGCTAATTATTTCTCTTTCTTTTATCCTTCTAGGATGGCTCCTGAAGTAATCCATTGTGAACAAGACTCCAGTTGTACATATGATGCACGTTCAGATATTTGGTCATTAGGTATAACTGCCTTAGAAATGGCTGAAGGTCGACCACCATTATGTGAAATGCATCCAATGCGTGCACTTTTTCTTATTATGCGTAATTCCCCACCACGTTTGAAACAAGCACCAAATGGTTCACGACATTGGACACCAAGATTTCATGATTTTGTTAATAAATGTTTAACTAAAGATTTTCATAAACGTCCAAATACCTCAGAATTATTTCGACATGATTTTATTACAAATTTACCTAATGAACGACAAATACGTATTCAACTTAAAGATCATATTGATAGACATAAACGAAATAGACAGAGTAAGTTGTTGTCTAATCATGCGGGTTTTTTTTTATTAATCTATGTGGTGTATGTTTTCTTTTCAGGATTGATCATGAGCTGACATTAGTTAGACAACCATTGGAAAACTAGCTGGGAGTACTGGGCAACTGTTTCGTCCTAGTTTGGGACTCTTCATCAGTACCCACCATTTCAGGCAGGAGGACAGTTACCCGCCTGTGACACTGGCTGGTGGTTGCGTTAAATATATATCACGAATTGGCAGAAGTTGGAATTCATGGATAGTTTGCGAGCTCATTTCGTTACCGGAAGGACCTGGGCTCGAACCCTGGTGGGTACGTACTGATGAAGAGTCTCAAGCACTTGGACGAAACAGCTCTATGGTACTCCCAGCTGGTTTTCCAATGGTTCTCTAACTGATGTAAGCTCGTGATCAATCCTGTAACCAATCCAAATCCCTGCAAACCAACTCTTGATATGTTCTTTTCGTTTGCTTCTCTTCAACTTTCTTCAAATTCTGAGTTCCCTAACTTGCGAATATTAAAATAAGACTAGAATTCTATATTAGGTAAGTTTATTTAATGTAGCATATTGATGATACATAGTATTCTTTAACTGGATGATGACGTCCCGAGGACAATTTATTGCTCATACTCATATTTCAATGCATCCAACACGAATTCCTACCTCGGCTTGGTTTTTGAAAAATAAGAGTTCTGTTATATCTAAAATGATTTACCCCTTTAGGTTAAATAATTTAGGAGAACACCTCGGCTACTGCTATGACAAACGAATTGATTGGGTTTCAATGTAGAACTTATCAAAGTAGTGCATCAGTTCAAGTTGTCACATTTCATGTAACACACAAGGTAGGCAAAAGACAGAATGAAGCATTCAAATATAATATAATAAGTAGAAATCTGAGGGAGGTTTTAATGAATGTGGGTTGGTGAAAACAAATAAGGAATGTATATTTGTCATTGAAGATAATTTTCAGCCATATCTCCAACAGTTTCAATCTGTTGATTCTTAGAATCCCTAGGATCCCAACCAGGAAGCCTACATCTCAAACCAACTGTCAGACATTTCATGGACTGATTATAGGTTTTGATTTGGTGACCTAATTCTTTTCCAACCTAATTGCATGTTGGCTAACGTTGTTCGTCGAGGAGGGCGGAGGCTCGGCATGCGAGACACGTGTTCTAGACTGAGTGACTCACACAATAGGATCATTATTGTTGTTATTATTGTTTCCTTTAATTCCTAGAGGAACATAGGGCTTCAGCCGTGCGTCTCCATTGCGTTCGGTTCTCTGCTAGAATCTTCACCTGGCTCCAAGTCTGCCCACACGTTTTCATCTCCTCTTCACATGACCTCCTCCAAGTCACCCATCCTCGCACTGACGACCAACTCGCCGCTTACCTTTCGGGTTGCACTCGAGCAATGGCTTGTCTAGTGATGTCACTTGATGGTTTCCTCAGAGTATGGCCAATCCATCTCCATTTCTTCCTACCTATTTGTTTCACAATCGGTTCCTGGTTGGTTTGCTCCCAGAGATCTTTGTTGCTGATCTTTTCTGGCCGGCCATCTGATCTTGAGTATTGAGCGAAGACAGTTGTTGATGAAGGTCTGTAGTTTGTTTGAGATGCTCTTTATGACGCGCCAATAGGATGGGATGAGGTAATGATTCTAAGAAGTAATGTTGGCGGATATTCTCTGAATCGTTGTTCATCGAGTCAACACGTAATACATAGTAATATAAGTGACGTCTCAATACCGGTTCCAGATCTGTGTGAAATTGCAACAATTGAAAAACCGGATGGAGTAAAGAAAAACCTGTATAGGTCAAATTAGGAAGTTGTGTGGATACATTGACGTGGGACTATGAGCAGTAATTAGTATGAGCTCGACGTGTCATCCAGTTAAATTATAACTGTCTATCATATAAACGTGTCTCATATCGAATAGACTAATCTAATTTATGAAACGTGAATATTATTCACTAAATTAATCAATAAAAAGATACTTTAAAAAGTTTAATAATGTAGCAGTCATTATTATTATTATTATTACAAAAAGTGGATGAGATGTGTAACTGTAGAAATTAAATAAGGGTGAAGGCTGGTTATAATAAAAACAAAAAAATACCTAATTAATACTCATTGGGATATGTGTTCTCTCAATTTTTATTGATGTATGATTGACGTGGAAACAGTAAAACGCTCAACTCGAGTGATGCCGTTTTTCTTCTTATGAAAACTAATTCGGTAATGACTCAGTCGTTTGCTTTCAACTTCCTGATGATGATGATTAGTTGTGTCGTCTAAAAATGTTGCCGATCGATATTATATATCCCGTTTAAAATAATACATCGAAATTTCACCAACGGATAGACGAAAACCAAGTTATGAAGAGGTTGAATGAATTAACTAGAAAGTATTAGAAATAATAATAATGTACATCTGTAATACGATGATAAGAATGCTCGTTAGCCACCCGGCAGATGAGGCTTCGATTCCTGTCCGATGCACTCGCTAACCTCGCCTAGTTGACTAATCGGTAGCAAGCTTGGAAATAAGTGAAGGTTAGGGATAGGCGGGAAGCTTGAAACTCTATCCCCTAGAAAGAATATCACCACTGAAATTTCAAAAATTGAAGCTTTCTCCTAGAACTTAAGTAATTAAAAATTATAATGATAAGGCCAGTTGATAACATAATGATGGCCGGTGCGGTGGTGGCGCTACAAAAAAATCACGAATTGGTAGAATTCATGAACTTGCCATTGAGTTGGGTCCCAGTGGTGGTGGTGGTGTGTTGAATGGTCTACGAGCTTGACTTGGAAACCGGGAAGGTCGTGGGTTCTAACGCTGGTTGGTGCGTACTGCCGATAAGTCCCAAACCAGGAAGAAATATCAATATATGTGTAAAACTTGGGCACTGTGGTAGTAAGTAATTCCATATTAGTTTGTTTATTAGATATATCACACAGTGAAACAGTATTATTTACTGGATGACAAGGTTTCGAACAAAATTAATTGTTCATAATCATATCAATTATAATCACATGACTTTAAAACTTGAGTTTTATAGTTTTTTTTTGTCCTCTCCTATTTGTCGTCGTTGGGGTAGTAGAATTTTCCAGATTTCTGGCTGGACAGGTGTTGAATCATTCCTATTACATGTATTTGCAGTTGATTCGATAAACAAAGCTTCTGTTATCAATCTCTCCCTCCATCCACCCTGTGACATTAGATTTTAAAACTGTCATCTTATCCCATCCATCCTATTGTATGGTTGTGTGTAATTGCATGTACTGAGTACTATAGCTGAATTATTCTCTAGATTTCTTATGTTATTTGGGTCAACTAATCTAGATTTCGCTGCTGCTATTTTGAGCTATGTATTTGACCTGACAAACATCGCAGACAGGGTATTAGATAAACTAAATTGTTTTGTTTTAAAGGCTCCACAGGATTGATCCTTTAACCGACAAAGCTTGTTTCTAATTGAGTTTGTGGTTGGTTTGAATTCCAGTCACTTTTATTCCTGCCCGCCTTGTTAGGAATTCTGCGTAAGGTGGTTTCTGAGGTTCCTTCCTTGTATGGAATTACTACTGATGATTTAGATTACTTATTGTTGGTGTTGTCTTGCGCATATTTGACATGCATAAATTTTGTTCGAAACGTCATCCAGTAAAGAATATTGTTTCACTGTGTGATACATCTAATAAAGGCATAAATATCTGTCCAGCTCTCCCAGTTGGTTTCCAGTGGTTCAAATCCCCCTAGAAACTAACTCTTGACAGTTGCGAGATATGAGAAAAGATAACTTTTAAACCTCTGTACACATATTATGTAGACGGTTAAAGGAAAGAAAAGGGTTGTGCAAATTTACTTTGAAGCACACACACGCATTTAGCTTATTCAACTGAATTCTACGTGACTCTGCTGCAGGTCTATAGAAATTGGACTCGTAAAGCATGAGAGCAAGGTTAGATGAGATACGATAAATAACTTTAAAAGCTTTATTGACTTTGATTTCGCATATCAACAAGATAATTTAGGTTTATGCCATTTATCAATTCAGTCAGTTCTTTGCCTAAACATGATGGATGGTATTCATGGGTCCTATGTGATCGTTAGCAATATTATGTAATGTTAGGTATCACCTCAACGGACGCATTAGTCTATTTCTCAGCTGATAAACCACGAAAATTTAATTATTGAAATATTCATGTTTCTCGAGACAATTCTTCAAAAAGAAAATCTTTGCATTTGCCTCAGCAAGCTTGCAAGGACAAACGTAGAAACTTGTTCAGTCCCTTTACCATCAAGGGGGTGCTTGCTTCCCTTCAAATCACGGAATATACACATTGGATCATAGGAATTATTAGAAAAGGCGGTTGCAGAGAAGAAGATTTTCTTTTCGACGAAGTCATCAACTAGCCTGTACATTCTCGTATTTATGATAAGTGGGGGAGAAAGTTCCAGAATAATTTCCGGTTTAGGGTCAAATTAATAAAATCACAATTAGGAATTAAAATGCCATAATAAACAGGGGGATGGATAAAACTTAAACAAAGTAGCCTCATAATTACTGAGAAGACTGACATATTGTGCATTTAGGGGTTAGAAATGTAGAAATAACAAAATTGACAGGATGTTTGGATAACAAAATCTAGTGGAATCATAACTAATGTGACGAATTATTGTTTATGCGATTAGGGATTAAATATGTAGAAATAGTAAAATGACAAAATAGACTGGAAGTTCGGATATGAAAATATGGTAGTGTGAATAGGGATTAAGACAAACTTAAAATAACATGAATAAACAGGAAGTTTGGATAACAAAGGCAATGGGATAATCACCATTAGAAGAATTACCTGTTTATGATGGCCATATCAGGGACAAGAGTTAAACGTATTTCTTTTGGTTACATAGCGTGGGTTTGAGCTTTTGGATGGCTATTGCCTCAGCTATGCCCAGATGTCTTGATGACTTCGTCGAGAAGAAAATCT